CCCGCTCCTGCGGGGACCCCGACGCCTCTTGCCGGCGCCCCGGGCCCTCTCCCTGAGCACCCCGACCCGGAGCCTTCGGCCCCCGCGGACGTAGTCCTGCCCGTCGTGCACGCAGTGGGCCGCCGTCAGCACGTGCTGGGGGGACACCAGGATGCCGCTGCAGCCCGTGGACAGCTTCACGGCGCTGCCGAAGGGGAAGCTGGTCGAGAACCTTCTGTCCACGATGCTGAACCTGCTGTCGGTCCCGAACACCTGCCGCCGCCTCCGGGCCGGCGCGCGCCCGCTGCTGGCGTTCCGAGTCCCCTCCGGGACCAGGCCCTCGACCTTCACCCTGGTCAAGGTCCGGGTGCCGTTCTCAAAGACCGTCTCGTAGGACAGGTGATCCTCCAGCTCGGAGAGGCTGCGAGCCCCGACCTCCTGCTGGTGCGCAAGGTCACACGCCCTAGACACCGCCGCCCACGTGTCCGCCCGGAAGGTGGGGCTGGGCAGCTGGACGGTCTGGTCACTGACGATCCGGGGCACTTTCCTCAAGTGCCACCTGAGCTCCTCTTCCGTGTCAGACCCATCAGGGAGGGCCCACCCAGGGGTGAAAAATAACAGCCAAAATAGCAGATTTCCCATTTTTGATCTTCTATTTCGTCCTTAAAAATAAAGAAAGAGAAGCTTTACAATGGTTCCTTTTTAAGTGCTACTTACCATTCCAGGAGGCCTTGGGTCCTCAGAGCACCGAGAGACCTCATCCACCCTCATTTTCACCTTGCTTCGAGAGTTGACGTTAGATAAACACTCTGCTAAGCCGGCTCCTTCAGACTCCAAGTTCAGAAGATTGTTTTTCCCCAGCCTCCCCTGTCCCACCTCTACTGGCCTCCTCCACCTCCCTCCCCTAACAGCCCAGTGCCAGGGGCTGCAGAAAACTGGGTCACTCTGTGGCCGAAGCCACGCCCCCCCTCCTCCCTGGATCTCCTACAACCGTATTTCTAAATGATTTTGAAATAAAGACAGCAGATGTCTAGCTGACTGTCCTCGCACTTGGCTCCTTTGAAGCAGGGATCATATAAATTCCTCACCTCTACAGTGTGAATGTCTAGCACAGAGCTCAGGACATGTTCCTTTGTGGAAGTTGTGTGTTATCCAGGGTTTGCAGCCCAAGCTGATGTGAAGGTCACTGCAAATCACTGGATAATGTCTAAAACTTAGAAATAAATAAACGAGTCTGTCTGCTATTGGTCTGCTTTAGTTTTTATGGTACCTCTGATCATAAAAAGAAAGTCCAGCCCAGGCCGTTCTGTGCCAAAGTGAGAAAGATGCAGTCAACAAGGTTGTGGCTGGGGAGCCGGCACAGTGGCTCTCTCGGGTTATCCCAACACTCCGGGAGGCTGAGGCAGGTGGATCACCTGAGCTCAGGAGTTGGAGACCAGCCTGAGCGACACAAGACTCCATCCTCTACTAAAAATAGGAAAACTCCCCAGGAGTTGTGGTGGGCACCTGCAGTCCCAGTACTGGGGAGGCTGGGACAAGAGGATCTCCTGAGCCCAAGAGGTTGAGGTTGCTGTGAGCTACAATGCCACAGCACCCTATGCAGGGCACAGAGTGAGACTGTCTCAAAAGAAAAAGAAAATTATGTTTACAACCACCGTCCAAGCCATGCAACATACAAAATAATTTGTGGTGGACTTTCACTGTACAGTAAAGGCAGTTGTAGGAATCTATGAAGCACAGGCTGTGGTTCCAGCTTGTCCCTGGGAAAACGTGATCGTGATTAGATAGATAGTGTAGTCCCTTCACATCACAGAACTCATCCTGCCAGAGCGATGCTTCTGTATTGTTTAAATACTGTTAGAGACGCCGGTGCTTGATGCGTTACACGGTACCTCCTATCCTCATATCTTCTAGCCCTCTTCTCTTCTGGGGGCTCTTTGGCATGTGGGTGGACCTATTTAGAAGGACTGGTGTTTATCAGCCATGGCCTGAGGGGCAGGTAGTTGTAGCCCTCTTTGGAGCAGCAGTTCCAGACCTGTGTCACTATTACTTTGGTCAGCTCTGCTCTGATAGTTAAAGTATTTTTACTAGTAGTTAAAGTATGAAGGCTTAGTAAATTGTTTGTACTTTGTATAAAACAGAAGCAATTCAAGGTTAGATTATTCCTATATCTTCACTCTCGATGCTTTCCAATAGGAGTTCTTTGCCGGGATGAGAAAGTTTTTGACCGGGGCCGGGTTTGAACCCACCACCTCTGGTATATGGGGCCAGCGCCCTATTCCTTTGAACCACAGGTGCCGCCCATGTCACAATATTTTCTAAACATCACCACTGCAAATTTGCATTTATACAAAGCAGTAATTATATTAATTAGTGGTTTCTTTCATCTTCTCTGCAATTTTCACAAAGAATATTTCATCTGTTTGATTTAATTGGGATGAAAAAGTCTTATAATGTGGTAACTCTACTGAGCCCTTGAAATTGTAGTTCCCAAGATGAAAAATTATGTTTCCTGGGTGAAGTGTCATGGCATCATAGCTCTCAGCAGCCTCATACTCTTGGGCTCAAGTAATCCTCTTGCCTCAGCCTCACTAATAACTGTGACTACAAGAGCCCACCATGACACCCAACTAGTTTTTCTATTTTTAGTAGAGGCAGGGGTCTTGCTCTTGCTCAGGCTGTCCTTGAACTCCTGAGCTCAAGCAATCCACCTGCCTCAGCCTTTCATAGTGCCAAGAGTACAAGGGTGTAATTCTTAGCAAAATTTTAATCAAGGGAGGTTTTTTTTTTTTGTGGGAAACATTTATTTTAATTGGTTCTTTGTTTAGCCCCTTAAACAACAGCTGTCCTTTATGTACTTAATATATGATTTTATTGGCTGGGTACAGCGGCTCACACCTGTAATCCTAACACTCTGGGAGACCAAGGCAGGTGGATTGCTTGAGCTCAGGAGCTGGAGACCAGCCTGAGCAAAATCGAGACCCCTGTCTCCACTAAAAATAGAAAAACTGAGGCAAGAGAATCACTTGAGCCCAAGAGCTGGAGGTTGCTGTGAGCTATGATGCCATGGCACCCTACCCAGGGCAACAGCTTGAGACTCTGTCTCAAGAAAAAAAAAAGTAATAATAATATACGATCTTGTTGAAGACCCACGTCAGGAGACAGGTGGCCATAAAGTTCGCGTGCAGTTTTAAACTGTGCACTACTTTAAATCCCACATGGACTTATGGTCCCTGTATAGACACTCTGTGTGACACCAACTCTTAACGACCTGAGAGTGATCATCAGGTCAAAGGCTTCCCTGGGAAAAACTGTGGACATCTAAATAGTGGTATTATTTCCCCTGGGTGTTTTATTTTTCCTTGTATTATTTAATTTAGCCTTGTAACTTTTTAGCTACTTAGAGATCAGAAAGACAGAATGTTAATAAGTGATAAATAACATGACAATCTTTTACTATACATATCATCGAACTAGGATAGAGATGTCAAACAGAACTACCCTACTTGATAACACATGTGCCCCATGTGATAATTCTGTAGCCAGACTTTTAAGAAAGCCCCATCAAGTCAGGTGTGGTGCACGCCTGTTAGTCCCAGTGACTCACGAGCCTGAGGCGGAAGGATCACCTGAGCCCAGGATTCAAGGTTGTAGTGAGCTATGATCCTCCCACTACACTCCAGCCTGGGTGACAGAGTGAGACCTCCATCTCTTAAAAAAAAAAAAAGAAGAAGGAAAGGAGAGGAGGAAAGCTCCATTGGAATTGAATTGTATTCAACTATAATTTCATTTTTGGAGGCTGATCTCGCACTGATTTTTATTTATTTACTTTTTTGAGACAGAATCTCACGATGTCACCCTCGGTAGAGTGCCGCAGCATCACAGCTCACAGCAACCTCAAACTCCGGCTTAAGTGATTCTCTTGCTCAGCCTCCCAAGTAACTGGGACTACAGACGCCTGCCCAGAGCCCAACAATTTTTTGTTGTTGTTGTTTTTGTCATTGTGTTTAGCAGGCCTGGGCCAGGTTCTAACCCACCACCAGCTCTGGTCCATGTGGCCAGAGCCCTAACCACTGAGCTATGGGTACCAAGCCTCCCACTGATTTTTAAATCTGTTATTCTAGTCAGAGACCTCAGCCAATACTTTGGAAATTGTCAATACCGTCAGTCCCTTTTAAACCAAATGATAATACCAGTGACATAGGCCTCATTTCCCACCAAGTGTGTATTCAGGTGAACATTCTCACAGCAGGTGAGAACGGTGGCTCGGAGCCCAAATCCTGGTTGCTCACCAAAGGAACACTGGCCCTCTGGTTCTCAGATCCCTGAACGGGAGCACTGGCATCACCTGTGAGCTTGTTAAAAATGCTCATTGTCCAGCCCGAGCCTACTGACAGACACTCTCCCAAGGGAGGTGGGGGGGGGGTCTCCCCACTGTGATGCCCCGGACCCTTGGTGATGCCTGAGGACCCCTACAGAGCCAGGCCCTCATGCAGCAGCTTGAGCCTCACCCCAAAGGCAGGAAGGCAGCCTTCCTGGGGGCAGCGGCTGACCTGGCTTTCCAATGACAGCTGCTTGTCTCTGAAGCCCTGTCCTTTGAGGGAGCTCTGTCTTGGGCACCACTAGGAGACTAGCCTTGCCCACATCTCTCCTTGGCCCTGGGCAGGGCAGAGCCGGATAATCCAGCCTCAGAATCCCAGTAATAAGAGGACACGGTTTAGTCAGCCTGTCTAATTTGCCCTGTAATTTAAAGTTGGACAAATGCTTAAGGACACTTTCTTTTGGAAAATCTAAGTTTGTCTTGTGGTGAAATGTCAATGTAACATAAACACCGTCTGTCCACACACGCCCTTCATCCCAAAGCACTCACTCGCCCGGCTAAGGGGACAGAGTCCCAGCTGGTGGGGCGCCAGCACCGACATTTTGAGAGTTCTGAAGTCCTTTTCTCCCCCCAGCCCCTGCTCTTTCCTGTCTTCCATTATAATTGTGACCTTCACCTTCAAGGTCCAGGCCTTGGATTTGGGGCTTTGAATTCCAGTTCTGGTTAACAGAAGTGCAGTGGCAGCCCTTACTCCCCAGCGGGGGTCAGCACACAGGCAGCTACTCCGGGGTGGGGGTGGGGATTGTGAAGACAGATGGGGGGGGCATCAGCACACACACAGCTGGTCTGGGGGGGTCGTGAAGACAGATGAGCTAGAAGAGAGCCAAGGTTCATCCACAGCGAAAACGTCTGCTCTGTGGATGGACCTACAGAGGTCATCCCAGTGTGTGAGTTAACACGTCTGCTAACAGAAGTGGCCACACACCCCACAGGAGACAGCTCACTGTTACCACCCTCTTGTTGCTTATTTACGATTTCTTAGAACTGTGCTGCTGATGGCTTTCAGAATATGTGTGTAATGACCAGCGTTGGGGCCGCAGGTACAGACCAGGGAGGGAGAAGACTCAGGTTCCACTTCCAGGCCCTCTGTGATGGGCCACATGCAGCACATGGCCCCTTCCCTCCTCATCTGCCAAGTGGGGACAGTGCTAATCTCCCACTGCTAGTGTCCACATGGGGATTAAATGAGGTTATACATGCAAAGAATTGCTACCACGCTCAGGGCATAGCACACGTGTGTGATTTTACAATTAATGTTCTA